TATAGTCTGCGGTTTGGAGGCCAAAGACATGTTGTCCACATGAAGGCCAAGAAGCTATTAGTTTCTCCACACCTCCCAGTGTTCACTTACACAGAGCAGCATAACCTCCATCAGGATCAGCCCTTTGTCCAGGATGACTGCTACTATCATGGTTTTGTGGAGGGGGTCTCTGAGTCCCTGGTTGCCCTCAGTACCTGTTCAGGGGGCTTTCAAGGATTGCTACAGATAAATGAACTTGCTTATGAAATTAAGCCAATAAAGCTTTCTGTTACATTTGAACACTTGTTATATAAGATAGACACTAATGAGACACAGTTCCCACCCCTGAGATGTGCATTAACAGAAGAGAAAATAGCACGCCAATTGGAATTGCAAATGTCACATAATTTCACTCTGAAACAAAGTTCTTATGTGGGCTGGTGGACTCACGCACGGTATGTTGAGCTAGTAGTCGTTGTGGACAATGTTAGATATGTTTTCTCCCAAAGCAATGTGACCAAAGTGCAGTTAGACATCATTAATGCTCTCAATACGGTAGATTCCATATATAACGCTTTGGAAGTTGATGTAATTTTGACTGGTATGGAAGTCTGGACTGCAGAAAACCTAGTTAATACCAGTGTTGACTTAGATGTGGTTGCGAAGTCGTTTGCAAATTGGAAGCATAAAAATCTTAATAGACGTCTGCCTCATGATGTTGCACATCTTGTAATAAAAGAATTAGTTGGCATAAAACAAGGTTCCGCATATGTTAAAGGAATATGCCGTAGTCCTTATAACTCTGGAGCTCTTGTTTTTGCAGACAACAACTTATACATTTTTGCAATGATTGTGACCCATGAGCTTGGCCATAATTTGGGTATGGTGCATGACACTCAAGGGTGTACATGTGGCTTAGCTTCGTGCATAATGCATCCCTATAAAAAGTCATCAAATAAATTTAGCAATTGCAGTTATGCCGATTTTTGGGACAATACTCTGAAAACATGTATTTATCCTCCTCCAAATGCAGGGAATATCTTTAAGTTGAAGTATTGTGGGAATCTCGTAATTGAAGAAGGAGAGGAGTGTGACTGTGGAACTAATGATCAATGTGCAAAAGATGACTGTTGTCTGTCTAACTGCACTTTGCGTTCTGGAGCTTCTTGTGCTTCTGGGCTTTGTTGCAAGGACTGTAAATTAATGCCATCAGGGACTTTATGTAGAAACCAGG